ATATATATATATATACATATATACATAAATATACATACATACATATATACATAAAATTGTCACTTTTCACATTTCTATTCTAAAGAGAAAGTTACATTGATACACAGACTGCTACACGCATATATTGGAGCACAAGTATATAATCAGTAATTACAAATTACAAAACAAAATACAGAATAGCAATATACCTGATGACGATCATACGTTTGCTACTCTTATTTTAACGCACTTGAGATACGCGGATTCGATCGAGACAGAAATGGATCATACTGACGGAGCATAATGATTCGATCGGGTCGTCGATTCTGAAATACAGAACAAAATACAGAATAGCAATAAACCCATATTTCTGATGATAATCACACGTTTGCTACTTTTATTTAACGTACTTGAGATAGTTGAAATACGTGGATTCAAACTGGGCAGAAATGGATCGCGCGATGGAGCACCGTGGCGACTCGATCGCGTCGTCAATTCTGAAATCACTGTTGATCATCGCGCGATAACAGTCGTGTGCGACTCAACACGTTACAATTCGCGACGATCTTTCCACAGGACACTCGCGACTTTTTGCGTACGAAATTCACATTCGAACGGCAACACTCGCGGAAAATATACGGAGTGAGACGCACACGATCCCGATTTCCGAGAACCACGGCGCGTAAATAATAAAACAGAAGCGCTGGTTTGAAAAATATCGCAGGCGAAATTGCGATTCTCGAAAGTCGAAACGCTCGAAGCGCCAAACGACTTCTCGCGATTAGTTGCGCTCGGAAGATGACAGAGGGCATTGTTCGTACATCGTGAAAATAAACGGACGATACTCGAGGCTCCAATATTGCGGAGATTATCGTTAATTGTTAGTAATTATAGTAATAAGGATATAAATGCGTGCGCGATAGAGTTTTAGTAACATTTTGAATATTTATATAATAATTAGAATAGTGTAATAGATTCATAATTGACCATGGTGCGAAGTAGCGACAAGTAAGTCTCATTAAATTGAGGTTATGTGATATACCTTTCTCTTTCATTCTGAACTCGTTATCTCAATCTAATTATTAAATAAACGGTTACATAGAGACAGACATCACCGGCGGAGATCGAGGTCGAGATCGCGATCGAGATCGGCCGAACCCGAGAAGAAACGACGGCGATCTAGAAGCAGGGACCGAGAGAGGGAGAGAGATAAGGGACGACATCGAGAGCGAAGAAGTCGTTCGCGGGATAGAGACAGAGAGAGGAGTGACAGAAGGGAACGTTCCGAGAGGGACAGAGATCGCGAGAGAAAACGGTATATTCAAGAAAAGAGTTTCAATCTGAAACAGTTGTTTATGGTGTTCACTTTCCTCTCTGATCACTTCATGTTTTTGTAGATGTTTTCAGTAATAGTTGTAACAATAAAATAATTCATTGACATTGATTGTTCTCGGTATACTAGTGGAGACAGTAAAGAAAAGCGTCTTACAGGCTCAAAATCTTCGCGCTCTGGCAAAGAACGATCGAACAGATCCCGTTCCCGTGATAGAAAGGATAAAGAGAAGGGGGACAATGAGGAATTACCTTTTGATCACACAAAATTAGACAAGGTGAGCCTTCAAAAATCATTACTTGATCTACAATCTTGTTTTAAGAGGCCTTAAATCATAAATCAAAAAAGATTAAGTAACAATTTCTATCTTTTAAATTATTTTTGTGCAGTCTTTAGACTTTAATCATTAGACTTAAGCGAATTAAGCAAAATCCAATTTTTACGGTCTAAAAGCAAGGATATAATTTTGTGGCTAATCTATTGTCACTTACAAGCTTACAGCTTACAGCCTCTTAAAGCAAGGATGTGAACTTAACTAAAATGATGAAAAACAAACAATATATATGAAAATTTATATTGCAGGAGGAAGAGCAAAAAAGGTTGGAATTGGAAATGCAAAAGAGAAGAGAGAGGATAGAAAGATGGCGAGCAGAAAGGAAGAAGAAAGAACTGGAAGCAACCAAAAAAGACGGTAAGACATCTATTTTGGCAAATCTTCAGCTACCCATGAAAAAGTGGTCCCTTGAGGATGATAGTGATGAAGAGACTCCTGTGGTACAGAATAACAAGGAAGCAAAAGAAGAAGGTGCAAAGGAAGAAATTGAAGAAGTAAATGAAGAGGTAAAAGATAAGGAGGAGGAGATTGATCCACTTGATGCTTTTATGGCAGAGGTAAGTATTACTATAATCAATTTGATTTGATATATACTTATGTCCAATTAATTTAATAGGTCCAAGAAGAAGTGAGAAAAGTGAATAAATTTGATGGTAAAGCTCCAAAAAATGCCAATAATGGCACTAATTCTGCATCACAGAGTGGCGGGGTGGTCATTGTAACTGGAGTAGCTAAGAAAAAAGTGCAGAAACAGAAAGGAGAACTGATTGAACAAAATCAAGATGGATTGGAGTATTCTAGCGAAGAAGAGGGCGAGAATCTTCACGAGACTGCGGCCGGTATAGCAAATAAACAGAAGCGAGAATTAGCTAAAGTTGATCATGCTACAACAGAGTATCAACCCTTCCGAAAGTCTTTCTATGTTGAAGTGCCTGAGATAGGTATTTCCATATATTTTTAAATTATGTTTTCTATCAATAAATTAATTTTATATATATTTAGATAGATATATATTTACTCATTCAATATATATTTAGATAGATATATATTTACTCATTCACTACATATTTGCAGCAAGAATGACACCAGAAGAAGTAGAAGTGTATAAAGAAGAATTAGAAGGTATTCGCGTAAAAGGTAAAGGTTGCCCAAAACCTATCAAATCTTGGGCGCAATGTGGCGTAACTAAGAAGGAATTAGAAGTACTAAAGAAACTCGGTTATGAGAAACCGACACCTATTCAATGCCAGGCGATTCCGGCAATCATGTCTGGTCGCGATCTCATAGGTATAGCGAAAACCGGTAGCGGAAAAACGCTAGCTTTTCTTTTACCTATGTTTCGTCACATACTCGATCAGCCACCATTAGCTGATGGTGACGGACCAATCGCGTTGATTATGACACCAACTAGAGAATTGTGTATGCAAATTGGTAGGGATTCAAAGAAATTCACGAAATCGCTGGGTCTTTCGCACGTGTGTGTCTATGGTGGAACCGGCATTTCTGAACAAATAGCAGAACTTAAGAGAGGAGCTGAAATCATTGTGTGCACACCAGGAAGGATGATTGACATGCTTGCTGCTAACAGCGGACGAGTGACCAATTTACGTCGAGTAACATATGTAGTACTTGATGAGGCCGACAGAATGTTTGATATGGGTTTCGAACCGCAAGTGATGCGAATTATGGAGAATGTAAGACCGGATAGACAAACGGTACTGTTTAGTGCAACGTTCCCACGACAAATGGAGGCGCTAGCCAGAAGAATACTTACGAGACCAGTCGAAGTACAAGTCGGTGGACGTTCTGTCGTTTGCAAGGATGTGGAGCAGCATGTAGTTGTACTCGAGGAAGATCAGAAATTTTATAAGTTGCTTGAGATCCTTGGACATTATCAAGACAAAGGTTCCACCATTATATTTGTAGACAAACAAGAGAATGCAGACACGTTGCTCAAGGATCTTATGAAAGCTTCATATTCCTGCATGTCTCTTCACGGCGGTATAGATCAATGCGACAGAGATTCAACCATATTGGACTTCAAAGCGGGACGAACAAAATTGCTTGTGGCCACGTCCGTCGCCGCTAGAGGCTTGGATGTCAAACATTTGGTATTAGTTGTCAATTATGATTGTCCTAATCACTACGAGGATTATGTACACAGATGTGGTAGAACTGGCCGCGCTGGAAATAAAGGGTAAGATATAAATTTTTGAATTTTCACAAATATATAAAATATTTCAAATTTATTATGATTTGTTTTCCCTTCAGATACGCGTATACTTTTATTACATCAGAGCAAGAACGATACGCTGGTGATATTTTACGTGCGCACGAGTTAGCGGGCGTACCTGTTCCAGAACCCTTGCGCCAATTATGGGAAGGTTACAAAGCCCGCCAAGCCGCGGATGGAAAGAAGGTTCATACTGGAGGTGGTTTCAGTGGCAAAGGATTTAAGTTTGACGAATCAGAGGCTGCTTTGGCGAATGAAAAGAAGAAATTCCAAAAAGCAGCTTTGGGACTGCAAGATTCCGACGACGAGGACATAGAAAACGATATCGACCAACAGATCGAGAGCATGCTAGCGCCTAAGCGAACTGTTCGTGAAATTGCGAAACCGACCGCGACTAGTGTTACAGTGCCCGGTCAACCTATTCCTAGTGCCACTGATAAACTCGAATTGGCCAGAAGACTGGCGTCGAAGATAAACATTGCAAAGAATCTGGGCGCTGAAGCGAAAGGCGCTACTCAACAAGCAGCGGAAGCCATATTAAAGGGTGCAGGACCTACCAATCTTATCACGGTAAAATCCTAGTTTTTGTTTCAAATGTTACTGCAATAATTTTACGATTGTAAATAACTTTTTTTTCTTTTATACAGGCAAAGACAGTCGCGGAACAACTAGCAGCGAAACTGAATACTAAATTGAATTATCAGCCACGCGAAGAAGATCTCGTAGAAAGTGATGTGGAAACGGGTGAGCAAACATTCCGCAAGTATGAAGAGGAACTCGAGATCAACGACTTCCCGCAACAAGCGAGATGGCGAGTCACAAGCAAGGAGGCTCTTGCTCAAATCTCGGAATATTCTGAGGCAGGTCTGACAGTGAGAGGAACGTACATCGCACCTGGAAAAACGCCACCAGAGGGAGAGAGGAAGTTATACCTGGCAATAGAATCAACGAGTGAGTTGGCAGTCAGCAAGGCCAAGGCGGAAGTGTCTCGACTCATCAAGGAAGAACTTATTAAACTGCAAGCGTCTGGTGCTCACACTGCATCGCGAGGTCGCTATAAAGTTTTATAAAATTTTGGGATCATTTTAACGAGTATATAGTGTATACCGTAAGATTATCATATGCGAATGTATATGATAAAAGTTTAGAAATTTATTATACATGCAAATAATGTGTTTGTTTTTAACAAACTACAATAACAAGATATACTTAACGACTGTGAGAGAGCCTTATTTATATCATTGGCACAAACCACTGCAGGCAATCCAAGTTTTCGCATATTTATAAATAAAATGCGAGCACCCACATTATCCCTTTAATGATATTTCTTCTATTGTATTAATTTACCTATACAAAATAAAAATTCGAACGAACGCTCAGCAACGTAAAATCGCACGCAGCATGCGCCAGTCATACGTTCATAACAATTCTTAATAAAATCTTATGTTGATAACGTTCAGCATTCTTAATAAAATCCTACTTGATTTTTTTCTATCTTAATTTGCTAGAGATTTTTTCATGTTTCTGAACTTTTTTTTTCTTTAAACCTATCTCGAAGCTCTTTAATTCTATTGATTTTTACACATTATGTATAAATATATTTGTTCCTTGATCAATTGATTGAAAAAAAAAAAAATTAATTGAAATATATCGATTTTTACGGAAGTTATGGTAACAAATATGAATGGAATCCCAGGAATCCCATTGTGTATATCAAGGGTAGAAAAAAAAGAGTAATAGCTAAGATTAATAACAAAATTCGGAAGAATGAGATTTGTTTGAATGATTACTTTTTCGAGCTTTTGTATAAAAATTACATAAGTGAACACACGATATACTAATGTCAATATGCGACCCGATATATTAACTTAAGTTTACGTCTTTTTAATTATTTAATTTATAATAATGAGCAGTTCTCGATTATCTGCGACGAAATAACGGACGCAGGAAATCGTATATTTTTGTACATATACTCTCATTATATATACTCTTTCCTCTTTGGCAATATTAATTGATAACTAAAAATACATTCTGCTGTACGCTATTAGAAGGCACTAGAAGAATCACAGACACGAGACACGCTGTAGACATTCGTCGCCGCGAATGCATCGCGATTAGGTAAACTGTAAAGAAATACTTTCAGCAACAAGAATAAAGAAAATAAGAATAATCGCTCATAACTGACAACTATCCTTAATGATAATAAATCTCGAATATCTTACACGATTCATTAAAAATTAAAATGTACTTTATACACTATTTACTTTTGGATTTGACAGAATAAGAGCGATGTATCTTATTTTCCTTTTGGCTTGATTGTAAATCAGGATAAAATGTTTAGCAAGAAGATGGTAACGGCAACTGTCGCGAGCCAAGCACGAATATTTATAGCACTAGAAATATAACTATGGGCTATTTCGGCTCTGCTCAGCGAACCCAGAGGTACTTCCGCTGCGATTAAAGGACTCCTCTCTGAAATCCTAGTGACGAGCTTCTCCGTTTCCGTCACGCAAGCTCGCAATTGCAGCATCGATGGCTTCTTGGTGATGGGCTGGACGACGATGAAGATATCGCGATCAGGTGTCATCATGCCACGAAGAGCGCATTGCGCCACTTGTAGTTGGCGACCTAGAGCGACCAAGAGAGCTTCTAGAGTGACGGAATCCTTATCAGTTTCTTCATCCATCATATAGTAGATCCTGTCCACCTATAATAAATAAATATTAGATTATAAATAATTCAAAATTCTGAAAGACATCTCATTTGAGAGTATCTACCTGTTTCTTCGAATAGAACAATCTCGCCGCTCCTCCACAAACAGGACAACAAGCACCGGGAGGAGTGACCCCAACGCAATACGGCTCCTTTAAAGGAGGACACTGTATGGCATCACCGCAGCGAGGTTTCGTTTCATCGCCTATGAGACCGACAGCGACACAAGGACCTTCGTAGTCCACGACAACCTTATCGGCCCAAGCTGCACATTCGTTAGCATAAGTCTCGCCATTGATACCACACACCCAATCCCGAAGACTACATCCTTTCAGACAAGGTCCTCTATAACCTAGTGTGGCTCCAGCTCGGATCATCGTGCACACAGAAGGATACTGGCGATTTTCTTGATCGCAGACTGGTCCACTGGATTCATCACGCGGATTGCAATCTATTGGCACGCATTCGTATTGCCGGCATGGCTTGTGCAAAGCAGTCAAGCAAACTCTAGGTCTACGAACACATCTCTCTGAGCTGTCGCAGGGATTATGCACGCAGGGATGCCTACTAGAACAGCTACCGAACTCCATTTCAGTGGTCGACAACCCGGCGCACTTCGCTAGACAGGCGGACGCGAAGGTAAAACCTAGCCTGCCACAAACTGGGACATAATGAGCTGGACAATCGCAGGGCAAGGATAACATTCGCAGCTCGCCGCAGCTCCTCTTGGAGCACGTAAACTCGCCTTCGAAACAATGGCAGGGATTACAATCGAGGTAGAAATGGCCTTTGTGTTGAATAAATCGATCATGCACCCAGCAGGACTTGAAGTTGAAGCAATTGAGCGTGCGGCACTTCTCCAGGCCGCGCGTCGTACACTGGCAGATCTTCAGACAACCCTGTTGATCAAACCGCGGAATCTGAATCCAAGATCCGATCGGCACCAATTGCTTCGACATTTCGCCGAGAGAACAAGCCGGCATGCAACGATAAATGTTGGCGCCGTTCGGTTGAACCACACAGAGCTGTCCCTGTGGACAAGGATTCCGTTTGCAAGGCGTCGTGATGTCTTCATCAGGATGAATCACAGCTTCGTCATTCTGTGAATTATCCAAGAATGGCCCTAACGAGACGCACGGAGCATCCGGTCTACCCGGTGATAATTTGGCGCACAAAGTAGCCGCTGTGTGGGATCCGGTGACTGAACTCCAGTCCACACAGCTCGCCATCAGTTCTAAACAATCCTCGCGACAAAGTCGCGTCTCGTGGATTCTGGTTTCGCAAGGTCGCAGCTGCAAAAGACAAGCCGCCGCACGAAGAGTCTCCGCTGGACAGGAAGCGGCGACGCGTACGGGCACACCTAGTCCACGAATAATGCTTCCTCTGGACCAGTGATCAGCCTCCCATTTAGCTGCTTCGTCAGCCGCAGTCGTGCAAGTTCTAGCAAGAAATTAAGATTTATAAATTCGATTATGAGCTCAGTTTTTTTAAAAGACTTTAAATTTTATCAGCATCACTCGAAGTTAATCTTAATATTTGACTTTTTAATCGCTAATTAATTGAATTAATTTCAGGCTATTGATATGACTAGATCTTAATCCACTCACGGTTCGTACCTAAACAAAGTCGTAGGTCTATCATTAAATCGCGCACAGTAAGACAACCCGGAACAGCCTATCTCGCAAGAATCGTCTGCATCTTCCAGACACCTCCTCAGTTCACCTTCTGAATTGGACGAGAGACACTGTGCATCTAGTTGTACCCAAGCGGTCTCCCAGTCTGCCTGAAAGGCTCGCCAACATAAATTCTGGCAGAAAGGCCTTGTCGCTTTCGTGCAACACGCCAATTTGCCAGCGTTCAAGGGTAATCGCGTCGGTTTCGTTGAACCCGATTTTAATAAGCAGCTCCACATCGGCGACTGAGGTAACACGGGACTGCACTTCTCCGCCAGAGCATCCATGATCTCCTGGTCGGTCGTCGCAGTGTGGAGAATACTGCGACACGTGTCCAGGCACGTCGCAGTCGTAGCTTCATCGCAACAGTGCAAATCTATAGAAATAAAATCAACTAATTTTTACGTAGATGCCTCAATAATCGGTGATATCAGTCAATGATTAATTAAAGTTAATAGATAAATCTTCTTGCTAAAGGAAAACATTATTTTTATAATAATTAAGAGATTATACATTGTAACGCTATTTATATTAAAACAAATTAAAATACAAGGTCAAAAGCAATGTAGACATAACATAGTCTTTTGACTGTTAATCCATGAACACCATGTACATCTACACCTATATTGCTTTTGATTCTGGAACATTGATGATTTTAATTAAATGACGCTACCAGTAGTTTCTCGCTAGTAATCGTCGAAGAATTGGTTTTCAAAAAACTGGACTTTATTGACATACTTCGACTTCATGACTGTTAATTAAGGAGCATTATGGTATATTTTTACAATAAAATGAAAGGTTGGAACAGAAATGAGATAAAGTTCTCATAATTATTGTGATATTTTATTAAAATATAGAAAGTTAATTGAATTTATACACGGCTGAGGAGAGTTAAATAAAGTTTAATATAAGTTTTAATATAATAGACCTTGTATTTTAATTTGTTATTGCTTAGTAATTTATACGAGTGTGTAATAAAAACTGTAATTATTAAATTAAAACGCTAATTAAATTGAATTAAAAATTAAATTAAATATTAAAAAAAAAACGTAATTCTAATATTTGAATATTATTATAAAATTGATTCGATAATTATTTGATAATCAATAATTTAATAATTATTTGCGTCTACTCCACATAGATCGTATCACGGTTTTTTATGAAATGATAACTAACGCTGCTTTGGATCCTCGGCGTGTTTCACCTCGGCTATACTTTTCAGGCATTTAGGAATTTGATGGAAGCAACCCTTGCTGCTGTACAACTTCAAGTTAGATTGTTTGCCGGGCTTGTAAAAAATATCTTTGCAAATAGCCCTGCACGTGTCATTCGAAACATTACTGCAGCATCGTTCGGCCTCCTCGCGCTTTTCCAAACAGAAGAAAAATTCGGGTTCGTCGCTCGGTCGACAAGATTCGTTCAGATCGTTTGTAGAACCAGACAGAGCGCAGGTCATGCGACATGTTGGATTTTGAGCAAGACGACAACATCCTCGACCCGTCCAATCTTCATTCCTTTTGAGCTCTATAAGAATTCAAATAATTTGATATTTTGCCGCAATATTTGATGCACACTTGACTACCTCGCTTACCATTTAATGTCGTGTTCACGCAAGACCAAAAATCCAACTGAAAAAAAAAGAGTTGAATAAGGAAAGACATTGTAGTTGCAAAAAATAGAAGAAAAAGAAAGAAAGGAAAGAAAGTGAAGAATGGTGAAGAAAGTGAAGTAGCACAATCGACCGATCGCGCAACCGCGAGTCCGAGATCATCTTTCATAAAATCGTCACCGCGAAATGAAAAAATTTGGATCGCATTACAAACATCCCGAATCG